AAAAAAAAAAAAAAAAGAATGTTCGCAGAGCAGTGCACATAGATAGGAGATCAAAAGACAATTCTCTGTTCTCGTCAAATCTCGTTCCTTTCGAACCCGAGAAACGTACCTGCGGTTCCTCTATTGCACACGTCATTCGCGTATTGCCTCCTGCACATATCTAATCTGTAACGCAACAACAAAAGTTCCTCTTTATCATGTGGACTCACAATCTCTCTCTGTTCTTGTCTTCGGACCACGTCACGGGACAATTGTTGGAAACGTGCCGCTCGCAATGTGCCTAATGAAATCCACTAAACATCCTCTAAAGTATAATATTCCGTAACACATATTCACAGTATTATGTTATTTTGAGAACCTATCAATGTGTTTTCATATGTACTTTCTATCGAGTCATGATATCTTGTAATGTACAATGATTCATTGCCGGTGTGTAAGGGTGTAGATCGTGTTAAATTTATCTCTTTACATATCAATTATGTATTCGACGTAAAAGAATTATTATAAGAATGAAAGATATATCAGTGAGGTATTAAATATAAGTTTAACATAATATTTTACAAATCATAGGAGAGGTAAGAAATCTCTAGATTTTTATATATACATTCATTATCCATAGAATGCGTGAATTTGCCTCTTTTCATTTATTTAATGAATGTGCATAAAAAGTCTGGAAGCTTGTTATCTTTCTCTGATTTATAAAATACAATTCTGCAATATATGTAAATATTGTATTTTTATTAACAACCAATTATAGAGTGGATGAAGCAATTTTCTCTATTTTTAATAAATTATTTAACGAATCTAAACACTTTATTTTCTATGATTTTTGTAAATAACATCATAATTTTTATTCCTATATTAATTTTTTTACGTATTACTGTATTATATTCGAGATTTTAATGAATCATCTCTGCGATAGAATTAATTGAATTAAATATATGTGTAAATACATCTTTCTGTATACAAATCCCAACTATTTTCGTACAACACAATAACCACCTATTTTACAGTAATATAAACAACTTATACTTCATTGTTAATAAATTCATACAACTGGCAAAAATTCATACTAAAGAAACTGTGTCCAAGGTAAAAGGACGCATGCATTATCGGGCAACAAATAATCAAGATATAAAACGATAAATTTCCGAAAACGTTCAATGTCAAACATTCCATAATACGCATTCCAAAAGATTAATAAACTGTGACGTGAAAATTTCATGGAAAATCGTATTCTCTTGAAATCTCTTTAAGACTTCGCAATAGTTAATAGTATTGATTTACGAGGGAGCGGCATTCATTTGACTGATAAAGAAAAAGCAAACAACCGTGATGAAGCGATATCACACATCGTGTGTCCGAGTATGCTCTCCTCCTTGTTCATCGTCGATGAACGCGGCTTTGCGGAAGGCGATAGCGTGGAATTACGGAAAAGCAAACACACGCGTGTAAATAATTGCCAATTAGCGAGAGTTGCATCTCAGGTATGAATTACAGCCAGTCCCTCTTTAACAGCTTTGAAATGCGCGTTGTTTCTTGAAATCGCACGAGAGAGTGTTTGGACGATCCCGACTGTTCGAGAAAGAAAATATCACATACGGTTTCCAAAGTGTTCAAGCACTTATCATCAGACAAATTTTCACGTATATATCGTGTAATGTAAAACATTTCGAAACTTCATTGACATTGTAACGAAAAGGTAACAATTGTATTGGTATACAGAATCTGATATTGTAATGCAATGTAAGTACATAAATGGAAGTTGTATATTGTAATGTAATATAAGTGTGTGGAATTTATTGAAAACATGTATTTAAGAGAAATAAGTATGAACAACATATAATAAATGTTGAAAGACGATTCCATTGAACATTGACGTAATATAATATAATTATTCCATTGAACAACAATGTGAGACGATGGATTATGGCTATTAAGATACTTTTGTGATTGTTATATATAACGAATATATATCTTGTAATTTGTCTTCAGATTTTGTTTCAAACCTGACCAATGCAATCACAATGGTTGAGACTCACAACAGTGCTAATAAAATTCCAAGATGTTTTACATGGCACACATAATATGTGCATAAAAAGTTCTTACAACCGTTCGAATTCTGTCGCGAGCAACTGTAGTTTGTAATGTAACCTTTTTTGCAAAATATGTACAATGAGGCTTGTTATTGTGGTTTTCTCATCTTGAACATTCAAATGAAACTTTCGACACTATGTACAACACATGCTTGTTGAGTCTTGGATTAAAACAGTTTGTACGTATGTAGAGTTTGCTGATCAATTTTTGAGTGGTTTCTGTGTTCGACCGTATTCGTCGATGTAAATTTGTACGCTATAATTATAATTACAGTTTAGTAGATTGATGTCTAACAACAGGCAAAATAAGAAAGCCAACGCGCGCGCGTGTTATTGATTACGTGTATTAGTGGTACCATTACCTATTGAAGTTCAATTCTACTTTATATGTTTCGTTTCTACGAATATGCGCAATGTTTAACAAGCTTGTTCTTCGCTAAAACAGCGTGTATTATTTTTAAATAATAACTACAAGTTTGATGTTCAACACCGTTTAATTACGTTAAATTAAATTAAACGCATCAAAAGGTTTATACTTTCTCGTTCGATGAAACGAAGCTTCTGTTATTATTAAATTTAGTTTATTATTTCAAAAAGTATTAAGTTGCACTATGCATTATGATATCTCTTTTGCTTTTTAACTGCCACAGTGTTTCTCTTCTAATAAATATTTTAGAATGACTGATATTAGTAAACAGTGACGCTAAAATAATATTATTAATATAAAATATCAATGTTAATCATTTGCAGGATGTGGATGTAAATAATATTATTAAATGAAAAATGTGCTCTTATAATTTATTATCACTGTGAAATAAAAGTAGATAGTACTACACTATAGTTGATAATGGTATAAAATGAAAGTAGCACTACAATACTAATAAAATGGAAATAAATACATCCTTACTGTAGTGTAATATTTTGTAAAAATTAATTACATAATTTAATAATTACATATTTATATATGTATGTTAATTATAGTTTTAACAAAAGTTAATCTTAGACAAATTGTGGCAGCTAACGTGTTAAATGAAACGTTTATGCTTCATTTATATTTTCACGGAAACAACATTAATTTAGAATACCTCAGGATATTTCAAACGAGAAAGAACACCGTTTTTGAACCGTTCACCCCCATAAACGCACCATTCCCCCATCGTGGTACGCCACTATTGACGTCAGAAACTACGTTTAAGCTACGTGTGAATAATGTACAATGCCGACTAC